AATTCTGAGAATAAAGTCAGAATTTTAAAAAAAATTTATGCACTGGCCCTAATACTCTTCCGTAGAATTCTGAGATTAAAGTCAGAATTCAGAGAATAAAGTCAGAATTTAAAAAAAAAAATTATGCAGTGGCCCTAATTAAAAAAAATTTATGCACTGGCCCTAATACTCTTCCGTAACATTCATTCTAAAGCAGCAAGGTCTGTGTTGCCACCTTTTCAGAAAAATAAGAAGAGTACAAATTAAGGGAATCCAAGATCCCTGCTGTGTCCAAAGTTCACATCTCATTGCTACCTCTGCATCTGAAGCCTTTCAGCACACTTTATTTTTCATGTCACACTTTATTTTTCATGTCACACTTTGGGCATTAAATAGCTTGCTCCCAGTGCAAAATCAAATCCAGCACATTCATCATTCTCTCCACTTTTATGACTGCTCAGGTCCAATTTAGGAGTTTGTTAAACTTAATATGCAATGCTCTGGGTGCATGCTTGTGTCTCTGTGCTGCGTGTTCAGGAAGGTGCCCTTTGTATTTGCATATGTGTCACTTTCACTGTATATTTGAGTGCCAGGCCTTGTATGTGTCACTTGTGTTTTTTCTTGGCTTTTGAGTCAGCTGTGGTGTGCAAGCCAGGGGTAATGTGTAGGAGTTGCAGATGATTTTTTTTGTGTGTGCATGCATGTGTGTTTGAAGGTGCTGAGACCCCCTTGTTCATACAGCTGTTCATCAGCAGTTACATTTTTCTTTAACCCCGTCTTTAGCAAACTCTTAAATGAGCCTGTAAATTAGCTGAGAAACAGGTGTTTCATTGTATCCTCACAGCATGTGTTAAAACAGATTAAAGGGAAAAAGGGGAGGGAGAAGAAGAGAAGATGGAGAGGAGAGGAGAAATGACAGGAGTACAATAGTCATTTGTCCTGAAATGTTCCATCAGACATCCCACAGGACGTCTCCTTGTCTTTAAAAGGGATTAGTTTGGTCCCAGCTCTGGACATGTGTCAGATTCATCAATAAATGTATGTCATCATCACATGTGGAGGAATGCCCTCACACTCATGGAATACACCTTTTGTATTTTTGCAGACAAACAGGAAAATTACAGTGTATAAATGCAAGGACTTATCTGATTAAGAAAACAAAATGTGGCATCTTAACACTTGTTGGCCAGGTAGAGCTTTTGCTACATAGCCAGTGTAAACAGAATATTCCTGGGTGCCTGGTAGCTGGTGTCAAAGTCAGATGGGATACTGAGGGAGAAAAATCTCATAGCCCTAGAGAAAAAGACAACTTGTGAGCTTATTAGACACGATGATAAGACTGACCTGTGTTCTGTTGTGGTTTTTCATGTTGTTGTGGGTTTGGCTACTCTTTCTAGATATAATTTATTTTGTTTTTTGTTGGCTTTTTCCTGAGCTAAGTGCACATTTGAAACATGATTTGGTTGTGGTTGTGTGCGCCATCATTGTATAATACATTCTCAATTAGTGTAACATGGGACAAAGCTCGTGGTTAATGCTCGTTTTATCTCCTGTACAACTGGCCTCCCACATTTTATTTGCATGCAGACTGTGGTAGCTTTCAAATCAGTCTTAGTCTTTTCTGTATCAGCTATAGTTGTTGTAAAATAACATTTTATGTATTATATTTATCTACTGTATATCCTTTACTTAAGTAAAAGTAACAGTACAGCAATGTAATAATACTGTATTGCAAGTAAAAGTTTTGCATTCAATAGTCTATGTAAAGTATATTAGAATTATCAGTAAAATGTAAATACACTGCACTGATATCAAGAGTAAATGTCTTCAGTATGGAGATAGAAAGCCCAGTGTTATTTCTCATAATATTTGTTTATTATTACTGCTGCATTACTTCCCTCTCTGGTGGTTTCGTGTGTATCTCTAAGACAGTCAGCATCACCAATAAATGTGATTCTCCGTCACTGCAGTGAGGTGAGAAGTTAAACCACTGTATGTGAGCAAGATTTGAGCTGCTGTTAATGTTGAAACTCTTAATAATGACTATGTAATGCACTGCAGTGTATTTTAATCGACATGCAAAATGTTTTAAATCCCGGTAGAAAGAGAACCTGTATAAAGTTTTATAAAATTAAAATACTTAACCTGGCATTAATATCTTTTTGGGGGCTATATTAGTCCAATACTAATTCTCCTTTTGGGGCCAGTTTTGTTCTCCACCTCCTGGGAGTATCTGCCGCATTAGCTGCCAAATGCTCCATTGTGTGCAACAACTAGTCGCTCACTTTGCCAAATGGTAGCTTGATGCTCAGCAAATAAAGTAGCGTAAAATGAGTTCATTAAAGCTTTTTCCATGAAAACAGCTGTGTGCCGCAGCCACAAATGGCACCAGTGAGAGCAGCAAGAATGAACTAAAACAGTGAAACAAAACAATGAGTTAAAAGATGTTAAAACACTCTACAGAGGTGAGTGACACGACAGAGTCAACTGATAACTCTGTGTAATATTGACTCCACAGGAACACCTTTCAAGCACAGATACCTCAGAATTGTGCTCAGCAGTAGTGTCTGAGTAAATGTACTTAGTCAGTCTCCACCAGTGAGAAAGATAAAGCTGTCTGTCCTATTACAAAAATATAACTTCAGCATACTTTAACTGTTGGTAACTGTTGGTACAGTAGGATAAACAACATAAATGTTCTCACTATGGAGCTGCTAAAATAATTTACACACCTGCTCTTCATGCCTGCCCCCGAGAAACTGCAAACAGCTGCTTTGAGACCGAGCCATTAATTAGCATCAATTGCATTAGCTGCAGCAGCAATGATGTTTTATTCTTGTCTCCCTGTCTCCCTTTCACACCATAGTCGTCAGGCACCACAGTCATGGTCGACATAGCAGTGATGGGAGAAGCCCATGGACTAATCACAGACCTACTGGCTGACCCCTCTCTGCCCCCAAACACCTGCACCTCACTGCGGGCTGTCAGCAACCTGTTAACTACCCAGCTCACCTTCCAGCCACTGCACCGGCCACGTCCTACTCCCCTGCTTAACCCCAGCGATGCCTACACCTGCTCCGACTCAGAAGACGGACCCGAGAAAGGAGAGAAGACATCCATCCACAAAGTAAGGATTCAAGGATTCAAGACCAAGTGTCTTTTAAGATATTCAGTACCAGAAAGTCGAGATGAACATGTCAAAAGTCAGAATAGTTTATTAAAAGTAGTCAAGATATTTGGAAACAGCTGAAATAATCCTTAGATGGAAATGCAGTCCACCTTATTATGGCCAGATGATTTATACACCACACAGAGCTCATGTTAATCTTTGAGTCCATGTCTCATCTAATGAGTGCTTCCTGTTCTCAGAACTTTTAGCATCAAATGAACAAGTGTGTTTTCACGAAGTCAAGTGAAGAAAAATAGAGTGCGTCAACTGCTCAGAGCCACAGCTGTGTCAACATGACAGATGTGCAGAGTCACTGGGTGTGTGCACACGTGCATGTGCTGTGTACGTAAGTCAAGTAAAAGAGGAGAGGCAACATGAAGGTGAATGCATCTCTCATAAAGATTAATGAGTGTATGTCAGCAAAACTGGCCCCCTACCACGATTATGGGTCCAGCTATTTGTCTGAGTAAAAATGCCTACCGTGGCTGTCTCAGAAGCTGGTGTGTGGTTGATGGCTGCCTTTTCCGACAGGTGCATTTTTATATCATCTGAACTTTGTAAAAGTAGATAAGACAAACTGTTTTGTGGAGTGGCCAGTGAGGCTGCACTCATTAGGCCGCTGCTCCCCACAGACAATATGCCTAGGTCTAACTGCACTGAAGGAGAATAGCGAGAGGACTGACAGTGGTGAGTGGAGCAGTGGAAAACCCTGTGCTTGCTTTTCTGCCTGCTGGCTAACAGTTTGATGTCCATCATGGAGCATAGTAATGCCTTTCAAGCACTTTTCCAAAACTCATTCTCTGGCCAAGGCAAAAGTGGCACTGTATTAGAAACATATATTGTACAGAAATCCAAAACATGAATGACAAAACACACAACTGCTTATCCACTGTTTGTTACAGTGATACCACTTTTTTCATAAAAATAGAGTTAAATCTAGTCTTAAAATTGAATTGCACTGACAGCAGCAGGCATCAGCTGGAACTTCATCTTCTTCTTTTTGTGAGGTTTGCTTGGTTTTGTCATGCAGCTGCCAGTGTGCACTATGGAGCAGCATACCAAATCATACCATGTCAGAAATTCACCGCTTCAAAATAAGAATTTTTATGAAATGTTATTATACACTACAAAAAAAACACCATCATATAGTACACTCTGTGTGTGTGCATGTGCTTCAGTGTGTGATACCTTGCTGTGAATGGACTCATTCAGGATTCTGAGGTGAACTTTACTACAGTATGTCACCCTGCAGAAAACCAAGAGAGAGAGAGAGAGCTTGCCATGTGTAGTGCTTCTGCACCAAGCTGCTGCTTGGCACCGAACAGACAGAGGCACCACAAGGGCACATGCCACTGTTGTACCCAGTACATTTTACCGTACTGACTCTGAGAGACGAGACAGTCCAAGTAACTACAAAACAGTGCTGATTTATTTCATGAACACAGGTAAAAATTAACATTACACGCTCAGGCATCTTGCACCTCCAACCTGCACGCAGGCAGATGTAAGATGAAAGACCCTGAACCCACCAGGCCTATACATTATATCCCCTCGGGAAGTCACAAATCCTTTTCTTTTCCAGTGACACAGGTCTATGTGTACTGCTTGTACAGCGTATGCAGAATCGGTGTAAATGTTCACCGTTCACCACTTTGTCTTTTGACAACTTACATGCTTGTATGAGAGCAATGAGCTCAGCCATCTGAGCTGAACTTGGCTGTGGGATCACATCAGCTTGCAGCACTCTGAAGCCAGCTGTTGTGTCCTCCACCACAGCATATGAAGCAACCAAACTACCTGTAGTAGTCTGATGTCTTGTCCATCATAGTACAGGGGCAGCTATGCGTCAGGTAGCTGTTCCCTATACAAGTTTTCATGTAATCTCATTTCAATGTCTGTCTTTCTCACACAATCATGGCCTTTGGTCAGTGACCATCTGCGCAGCCATGTTTGTTCCTTCACTTGTGATGTGTACTGTATGTGAGCTTGATTAAGTAACTGCTGTAAGTTCTGCGTCCTCTGTGCAGACAATGTGAATGCTTTAGAGTCCAAAAATAATTGTACCACGCGCGTTGTGTGTACGACTGTCTGATAACCCATTGTAATGTGTGCAGTTTTCACTATTGCTTGGCCAATTGCAGCAACATGTCTCACACAAATTGGATGTCCTCTTTCAACATTATCTAGCTTAGAGCTATAGTACATCAACACCTTTTGATTGTGACTCCTACTGTCATCCCCCCTTTGAAACAGGCCTGCATTTACAATGCAGTCCTTTTCATTAACATCCAGGTGG